CCGGCGGCCGCCCCCCCCCGGGCCCAGCCGGGCTCCCCCGGCCCCCGCCGCACACCGGGCCGGGGCTCGGCTCCCGAGGAGCTCTCACAAGTGTGCCAGACTGTAAAACAAGCTCTAAACATTGTGCTTCGGGTGGTTAGCTTGTGTCAAATTTCGACAGGCAGGGAAAATAAACACCTTCATGGTCTGTGACAAGTCAGGCTGACAGGACTACGGAAACAAGGAAGAGTCCGAGTATTACCAACAATTACCAAACAGCACACACTAAACTTCAAAATTAAACCAAGTTTTTATTCAAAGCGTCTATTAAAATGACAGCACATCCACTCTTCTGCTGTTAAGTCATGCCAAACTACAACTTAGTCTTCCGAAGCACTGAACACTTCAAGATTTCCTGTACGCAATCACTTCTTAATAAAACAAAAAGCAGTCTTCCACATCTAAATTTTGTTTTCACTTGGTATTTTACCCAAAACTTGTCACGACACAAAACTGCTTCAGCTGTCTAAATTTTGTCTACAGCCAAGTACAATTCAGTGTACTTGTCATACTTGAAATATTCTGCAAGTTGCCCAAAGCATTACAGCCGACTGGGAAAAATAAATTAAAAAAAAAATAAAAATTATTCCTAATGAAGTAAGGTATGACTCCAGTCTGCAACTGGCTGGTAATGACACAGTCTTGTGCCCTGTGAAACAGTACTCAGGAGCAATTCTGAGTTATGACTCAGAACTACAACAGATCTACGCTCAGAGCTCATTTTGGGATCAGACTATTTGCATGCAGCCACCTGAACAGTCAAAAGCATGTAACGTATTTGAGAAACTCCAAACCTACATGCGCGAATTACCAGCTTTACATAGGCTAAGAAGCTTAGAACAACTACGGCCTTTCATATTTTTAAGCCTAGAAGACTTAGAACAGAAACAAATGAGCCTGATGTCAGCGAAGTTTAGGAGCTGAAAGTAAAAGTTAAACTGTATCACTGGTGCAAAATTATTTACATTCAATGAAAGTGATTTTTAATTATTCAATTACTTTTTAGTTAAGTGCATCAATATGATTTGAACAAACTGGGTTAATGAGATTTTCAACTACAACAGGTTATCAATTATCAGAAAACATAATACAACAGTTGCAGTTGCTGGTGTAAAATCACGCTACTTTTCTGGAGCAGCTGTACGCATCTGGTCAGCCTACATCAAGTAACTGGTAAAATGACTTCTTCCTATTAAGTGAGAGGGAAAGCGGCTTCCCTTCTCAGCTGAATTTCCTGACCTTCAATGAGAGGAAGGAGTTAAAGCAAGCAGGTCAGTAAATATGAATTATTAATATCCCCTAAAGCAGTAGCTTAACAAAAAAAAAAAAAAAACAACACCCCACACAAAGTCCAATCTGAAAACAAAGTCTCATTACCATACTAGGAATCTCTGGTTGCCTTCAAAGCAAAATATGGAAGATCACCATGAGACAATGCTCTTTCAAAGTACAGAACATTCACGAAGTGACAAGATATACTGCTAAACATTTTATATCAGCATCTGAGTACTAGGCAGCGTTCTGTAACTCCATTTATTTGGGAAATACATGAAATCACACTGTTAACACACTTGTAACTATCTTTGGAAGCCTATTTTCTAGTTGTATAGTGAATACTTTTCTGCAGTGTTTAATTGATAGCTGTGCTACAGTTAGTGAATGCAAAATTGGCATGTTATCCTGAAGTAAAGCAATAAGGTGGCTTTATGCACAGAAAGTACGGAGGCTTCTATTTGCTAATAATCATATAAAAGCAATACCTTAAAACTTAGTGTTTGCTAATAGGAGATCTAGAATTGTTTACTACAAGTCCATACCACCCTGTAAATACTCCCTTTTATTAACAAAATCAAGTGCCAAATCACTACAGGGTCCAAAAATATCTGAAAAAAAATATTACCAATTGTTTACCTTTGTCTAGACTTTGCAAGACTAATCATTTTCACATAAACCCAACAATGTGCAAAAGTTCCTAACACCACGTTAGGAATAACAAGTGCTACCAAGAGATTCTGCTGAAATCAAATCAGAAAAGGTAAAACAGCAAAGTCAAGCCTCATACCTTGAGCAGTCACAGTGAAGATCCTGAACGATCTTAAGAGTTTCCTGAATGAAGCAGTTTCTTCCCCTCTACAAGTTGAGATAACTAAGCTTTGCCTGCCACCTCAGTGATACTAGGTAAAGATGTACTGACATTAGAAAAACACAGTTTCATTGCTGCTTAACAGTATCTTCAGAGCTATCACTTAATACAAATTTGCTTAAATAGTCAGATAAATACTTCTCTTTTTGTCAGCCTTCTTTGGCCACGTGTACCATTCTGCTAATCACGAACACTTTGTTCAGAAAGTGCTTCCTGTGAAAACTGCTTCAAATAAATGAGTTAACCTTGCAAAATCTAGCTTCCCACAACATGTTAATTTGTCAACCCTGCATTATGCAGTCCCATATTTACAAAATACTTAGAAACTTTACATCTGTCTTTTACCTTACAAAAAGTGCAATTCTCTTACCCCACGTTACGGGGCAACAACATTCTTCATAAATTCTACAGAATAGCAGCCTATGATAAGCAAATAAGGTGCTTAGCTTATGCCCAGGATCTAACTGGTTAAGTACCACCAGCAAGTACATTTTGTATAGGCAGACTCTGTTCCTATCTACTGTCGCAGCGGTGCCACAGCTAGGTTTGCAAGCTCAATGAGAGCCAGTGCACCATGCATGCGTTCACGCTGTTCCTGGAGGCGGCGGTGGCGAGCAGCTGAATGAGCGCCGTTTTTCTCTTCATCATCCTCTTCGTCAGATTGAAGATATTCCATTGGGTCCTGCTGTTCCTGATCCGTTTTCTGGATTGTTTTAGTTTTCAAAGCAGGAGCACGCTGTTCTCTAGTCTCCCAGTATCTACAGAATCAAATGCGGGGAATGCTTTTAAAATATATACAACTGACTCGCACATCAACAATTCAAAGCTGGCAAAAACCTCCCAAGTACTAGCTTGCATCCGACTAAGCACTGCATTTGGCTTTATCTTTCAGCCCTTATATGGTAGTATTTAGGCTGTCATAAACCTCCTTTATTCAGTATTTTAAGTGTGAAGTGCCCAAGTGAACATCTGCAACAGGTTTCTGTTCTACATGCTGTTCCCAGCAGGCTTTTCTCCCTGGGCACACACAATTGTTGCCCCTCATACAGATGCAAATTCAGCAAGACTGGAGCACTAACAAGGTATTAGCAGGTGCTGATCAAGCAAAGAGAAGCATTTAAGCAGAGAACAAACAAAAACAAAAAAAAAAAAAAGAAGAAAGTCTCCTGTCTTGACCAGGAGTTCACAGTTTTTTTTAAGGACAGGCAAGGCTGGGCTCATTTGTACTGGAGGAACAGCTGGCTTTGGTTTGTTGGGGTTTTTTGCTCCTAAGAATAAAATGCTGTCTCAGACTACCCTTATAAATATTTAGAGAAGGATCACACCATGAGGGAACTTACTTTGCTAGCCACTCAGCCACAGCTTTATTGTCAGCCGTCTGCTTCTTACTCAGCCTGTCTGTGAGTTCTTCTCTCTTCAGTCGGGCATATGGATGTTTGGGGCAGTGACGGTTTGCATGTGTGAATCTGCTTAAACAGCCTTAAAAAACACGAAGTGACAATGAAGAACACATTACGGAAAGCAGCCAACCAACGAGTAAGCATAACATCTGTGTGATGAAGATGCTGCTGAATCCAACCTTCCCCACGCACAGAACCCTAGGCAAGCTCTAGTTGTAAGGTTCATAACGTGCCCCATCATTTTATACACTAGTATCAACTGACAGAATTACTGATAACCTACTTAAATAATAACATATGCAATCCTTAGATACATATTTGCATGATTATGCAGATTCTCTGTGGCTCCTCCCTTCCCTAGAAGCTCCTCAAAACAAAAATCCAAAGCTTTTATGGATCTTTGCCACGTGAATGTGCATACATTTCCAGTACCAGATGACTCTAGTTCTGAAAGCTGCAAATTGTTCTCACCATTCTCTGAGCAGACGAAAGGTTTCTCCCCCGTGTGGAGGCGCTGGTGAGTTTTGAGCTGCCCACTCTGAACAAAGGCTTTCCCGCAATCTGGGTAGTCACACAAATAAGGCCTTTCACCTTAAAAATAGGAACAGAACAGATTTATGAAAGCTGAATATAAAAAACAGTCATAGTATTCAGTG